CTGGGAGTTGAAGTCCACCCCTCTTAAAGTTGCCAAGTTTGAAAAACACTGATTTAAACTGATTGGATTCTTCCCAGCAACCTCAACCAGCCTTCTCTAGTATTACCCTTTCTAGATACAAGGCAGAAGACAATTTCCAGAACTCCTGCACGGCACGGTCCTTTCCCAGCAAGGAAGAAGACAATTTCCATTACCCTTGGAGGTGCTTCCTTGGTGGCCAGATTAGTTCAGAGAGAAGCTGGAGGCCAGGCATTCTGAGTGAGCCAGGCTCATTTGGGGTCACACACCAGGGTAGCTGAAAGTGGAGTTGGGTTGTTCATCCTCCACTCTGTTATGGAACGTGTAATGTGACGTAGGCTATCACATGCAGTGCGCATGCGCTCCTAACATGTTTTGTGGACAGAATTGTTTTGTTAAGCCGGGTCCATGGTCAGATAAGTATGATTCCAGCTACCTGTCTCTTTCTCACAGGGAAGGAACCTGGAGTCGAGAAGATCTCTCAGAGTACTTCATGCGGGCCTGTGCCATTTTCTCCAAACTGGGCCTCGCTTTCCTGCATGATTTCCAAGAGGTCAGCTTCAAGAAGCCCACCTTCTGCGACCACTGCGGTGGCTTCGTGAGTTTATTCACTTTCTCCCCGACCTCTCACCCCCAGGCTTTTGCATGGGCAGAAATGACCCCTGGAAATGTATTACCAGAGGTTGTTTTGTGCAAAATAAAGACAATGGAAGGGGTTGCCCGGAGTAGCACCCGTGCCCCACATCCAGTGGTGGTGGTAGGGAAATTTTGCAGCTAGATTCTATCCTCTCCAGCACTATCAGCCCCACTAGTGTCTCAGCCCCCTAGGCCCTCCATCAGGACTAGAAACATACTACTTCTTAGATAAATGGTTTGAGGCCAGAGTATCTTCAAGGATGCTTTTTCCCACTATCTATCTGCCCAGTCTAAATGCCCTCACCAAGCTGAATTTGTGGGAGGATCTTCAGGGAAGAGGGCTACCTCCTTTGGTGGGGGGCTAGCTGCTCCTGTTTCCCACCCCCAGCCCCCCGTCAATAATGGTTTTGGCAGCCAGTTCAGACTTTCTTCTCCTCTCCCTCCTTTTCGTAGTTCATTCTGATGTTGGGCCTGCATTACGCAGGGACTGTAATGGTCTGTGGGAATGACCTTGGGAGACAGGAGGGAGAGCAGATTGGACAACCAGCATGTTAAAGACACCTCAGCCCACAGAAGGAGGGAGGGTGCAGGAAGCCTTTCAGAAGGGACCCTCCTTAGTTTTCTGGAGAGTAAAAGGAAAGGAGGGGAGAAATACTTTCAGTCTTGCAAGATTCTGTTAATGTAACCTTACCATAAAGTAGAATTAGTTCAGCTGGGCATGCTTCCTGTCTAGACTACCTTGCAGGGCTAACAGGAACAATGGCTTTTCTGGGTATTAATTGTAATATTCTTGCACTACTTCTCTATATATATACATAAGTATGTATGTATGTATGTATG